CTGCGGTTGGTTGCTCTGAATTTCATTAGATATATACTGTGCATGAAGTTTAAGCCACATCAAGAATGGGTAGCAGTATTTAAATTAATTAAATGATGAGGGATTTGCCTGGGTATTATTCTTACATGTCTTTATTATTTTTATTACAAAGAAAATCATAAAAAATGTTTATAACATTTAGTAAACTGTGCTTATAAGAAAGCAGGCCCGGGTTCTTTGTTAATTTGACCTTAAATGTAATGTTCAAGATGTTTTATGCAATCAAAACAAAACACACCAAAAATAAAATAAAGAAAACACTCTTTGGCGCCCTCTGCTGGCCTTGTGGCCCTGATGAGCGGTTTAAAATAGTCTGGCTGGAAATATTGAGGGAAAAAAAAGAATCCGTTACGTACATAACCATAACATACACACTGTTTACCAGCAAGCGATACTAGACAGTTACCATAAAACTCTGTTTCCATGTATGGTTAATACAATTATTCCTTATTTTTGCACATTAATGATGTTTTTGATAAAAATCCTTTGGCTAAAATGCCATCAGAACGCTGATAATATAAAGTGTGTCTCAGCTCCCAAATTTCCTGAATCAAATTCTTTTTTGTTATTGTTTCTGCTGCCTGTAAGCGGCGCTCTTCCCTTCCACCCCAGTCCAGTAGGCGGCGCAGCAAACTCTGACCGGAAGTATAAAAAGACATTTGTGGAAATAGTTCCGGGTAAAGGCACCGCGGGTAAATTGTTCTGGGCGTTTTTTCTTTAGAGCAATCTGGAAATCTTAGCTGGTATTTAAAGCTTCCTCCTGTAATGGCGTCTAAAAGAGGCGCTCTGATTGTCCTGGAGGGGCTGGACAGAGCCGGGAAAACCACCCAGTGTCAGAGGCTGGTCCAGGCGCTGCAGCAGAGCGGCCGCCCCGCTGAGATGATCCGGTTTCCCGGTGAGGAGAAGTTAGCAGGGATGTGTTAGCTTATTTCCAGCTGTGTGAGGAGGGCTGGACTTCTAGATGTTTCTCTTTCCTTTCTGTAGACAGGAGCACCGCGATCGGACAGGTGATCAGCGCTTACCTGGAGAAGAAGAGTGAGCTGGAGGACCACACCGTTCACCTGCTGTTCTCTGCCAACCGCTGGGAGCTGGTGTAAGATGCACACACCTGTTCCACCTCACTGATGGAAGGAGCAGATTATCACATTAACCTTTTATAGGGAGAGTTTGATGACTCATTGAAGCAGGGGCGGATCTAGGATTCAAGAGATCAGGGGCCCTGAGGGGGAAGATGAGGGTTTAGACTTTCTGATAAATAAGATATGAAAGATTAAGGACATTTTATAGTATATTACCTGCTATCCCACGAGAATTTAGAAACAGTTGCTCTTTATTTCCCAAAGATATGAGAGGAGGAGGATATTTCAGCTGCCTGAAATAATCTGTTCTCCTTAATATGGGAAGAAATTAATTCACCTGCAAGTCTTTCACTGTGTTTATTCCTCTATTCATCAACAACAAATCCTCTGAATTTGGTGACATTTGTTCATTATTTGCCAGAGTTATTAGAGGGAAATCAAAGATTTTAACCACCTGATATAATCTGTCCCCCCATAACATTTTGAAACTGTCATTTTTTCTTTATTTTATGTTTGAAAAATGTATTTTATATATCGAAATCCAAAATAGTTTAAATAAATAAGACTGTTGGTTTGATGATCTTTATAAAATGTAGTAGTGATGTGTCCAGCAGCACCGACTCATCGAAGTGAGTTGGTGCACTTGTCATTTCCAGAAAGTCATGTGACTGACTATATGTGTTTAAAAGTATATCTGTCAACATGATGCATCTGCTAAAAATGTCTCATCTTTTACAGTTTATCATTAAAATGATCAAAACATTTTTGGAGCAGCCTAAAAGGAATAGAAACGTTTCAGCTGCTGCGTTTTTAATTTTCTCATTCTGTCATCCTTTTCCTCTCAGTTATCAACTTATCTGAATTAAAGTTAATTTTAAATTGACTCTAATTTTGTTCACTGTTTTTACTGTACTTATTGTTTTAAAATGATTTAGAATCCTAGTCCTCAGGCATCCTCATTCACATTTTCCCCTAAATTTCACATTATATGTTTACATTATTTATTGGCTGCATCAAAAAATATGTTATTTTCAATTTAAACATAGAAATAAAATAATAAAATATAACTGACAATAACTTAGATTACATAATTGTACTAGTTCATATCAATTCAGTTTAGCCTGTAAAATCAGCTGCCTGTAGTGTCTTTAAATGTCCAGCAGGTGTCAGTATTCGGTGAGACAGAATCAATACAGTTTGGCTTCTAAATGCCTCATTAACCATCACTACAGTGTAATATTAAAATGAATGTGAGACATTATGGCAGAAGTCTGAAAGCTGTTTATGTTGGCCTGTCTGAACCCTGATTGAGACTTACATTTTTATGGCTGTAATTAAATATAAAAATGTTTGTCTAAGGCTGAACAAATAAAAGCTTCAATGCTTCTGAGATGAAGTTGTTCCAACAGCTTAAGCAACGAGTCTTACGTTACAAACTCAATGTGTTTTGCTTTGGATTTTATGACAGAATAAAACATGTTTAACTATAAGGTAGAAATAAAAAATGGTTAAATAAAAAAAAATAATAATAATGACTTGGAGTGAGTGACTAGTCCTAGGGTAGGAGACAATTCGACTGGGGTATATTTACTGGTTGCAGGCTGAATATGTACATATGCTGCACTTCTGGAATTAAAACCAGAATTCTTCCTCTTTTTATTTCAGTTATTCAGGAGTGCTGCTGTTAATTTTATTTTGCTGTTGAAAAGATTTAAAGGGTTTGAATATTTTTGTGAAGATTTGGCGAAATGTTTTAGCAACTGTAAGAGCTGAATTTTTAAATCTGGTTTTATTTATGGAAGCAGAAATATGTCAATTATCCAAACTCATGGCGGGACATAGATATAAAAATAGCTAAACTCTAAAGGTTATTATATTCTAGAACAATCTGTCTGAAAATACGGACCATTGTTTTTATTAGCATTCCAAAGAAAAATCAGCCGTTCATTTATGGTGGGAATTTGGTTCCGTTATTTTTGCAAACAAAGTCCTTGTTTTCTTCTTGGAATCCAGAAATTAAACTTTGAAAAACTTGTTAAGAAGAAAGACGATTTTCAGTTTTCTCATATTTTAGTTTTCAAATTATTTATCTCAAACTGAATTTTCCATATTTTAACCTTTCAAAATATATTTATTTTCTGTATTCAGATTGAGTTTTTACCAAAGCCAATTACGATTGCTCGCTCTGGATTAATTAACGTCCAGCAGACCAATAGAAATTAGTCTTTGCTCCTCCATCCAGAGGAAAGCCCCGCCCCCTGATGTGAACAGAATATGAAGAATGAAATTCGTAAAAAAAACAATCTGAAAAAAGAGACATCTGAAAACAAAATGTCTCAAAATATTGAAAATTGAAATATGAGAAAACTACAAAGTTATTCCATATAAAGGAGTATTAGGGCCAGGCTAGATTTTTTTTTTTCTATTTCAGGAATAAATTCGTAACATTACGAGAATAAAGTCATAAAATTACGAGAATAATTCTATATTTTATGACAGCACTTCCCAGA